CCCTCATGTAATAAATTTTCTTCTTAATAGTTAATAGATTTAGATGTTATTGAAAAGATAAATGAATGTTTAAGATCAATGTATGTTAGAAGGCACTAAAATGAAGTCTTAAATTTAAGTAATAAAGAGTACTTTTAAAGTAAAAACTTAAACATATACATTAAGGAATATAATTTGTGTGTGTGTTAAACATTATTTTGAGAAACAATTTACTACCTTGTGCCTGTGTCTTCAAATAATTAGCAATGTTCAAAACTTGGGAAATGTTTTCTCTTAGAATCCTATCTGCTATTTACCTTTTGAACCAGTATTTTACTTATTCAGTTGATGTTAGGGAAATATCAGACAAGTGTACAGAGATGCATTTATAAGACTGGTCTTTTTTTATAATGCTAGAATATTAGAAAAAGCCAAAATGACTAACATGAGGAAAATAGTTAAATAAAATTGCATTTTATGTACAAAATGGAATACCGTCATGGTGATAATATATACTTATTAACATGAAAAGTGTTTATATTAAAATTCAAAATTATATATAATATATCTACCTTTTTTCAAAAACTAGTTGTTAAGTAGGTAGGTAGGTAGGTAAGATAGATAAATAGATAGATGGATATGTATATACATATAGGTATGGATATAGATAGAGATATATATATAGCTATTGCTATAGATATAAATAAAAATAAATAAAATATTTATCAACAGGGAAACAGTGATGTCATTTCGCTTGGGCTGCTATAATGAAATGCCAAAGACCAGGTAGCTTATAAACAATAAGAGTTTATTTCTCACAATTTCTGGAGACTTGGGGTCTGAGATCAGAGTGCCAGCATGGTTGAGTGAGGGACCTTTTCCAGGTCATAGACTTCTAGTGATATCTTTTTGTGGTGGAAGGAGAAAGGGAGCTCAGTGGAGTCTCGTATTTATAAAAGTGCTAATCACTTTCATAAGGGCTCTACCTGCATGACCTAAACACCTTCCAAAGGTCCCACATCCTAAGACCATCATACTGAGGATTAAATTTCAACTTAGGTGGAATAGAATCATCTGTATACTATATATATATATATATATACTATAAAAATATATACTATATAGCATAATATATACAATATATAGCATATATGTGTGTATAATATATAGTATAACTATAAATAACCCCTGAGAGCTTGTTCAGAGGTTGTAGGATGAACATGTAGTAGGAATAATGAAGGAAGAGTATAGAGAGGGGATTCCTAACATAGCAACCTGATTTGCCCTATCAATCTGGGTGTCTTGTAGCAAAATTACTTTCACAGTCAATTCTGCGTTTTAAGATCTAAAATAGATAATTCAAAGAACATTAATACTTGGCTTAGGGAAATGTGTTTGTATTATAAAATATACGAATAAACGCATCAGCGTAGAACTTCCACACTTTAAAGAGAAGAATAATGTACCATGAAACCAAGTGAAGAAGGGCCAAATAGCTGCCTTGAATTCATCCTGGTTGCTTGTGTGTCTGCTGAAGAGTTGGGCTGGTCAGTTCCCTCCTCAGAATGATGGGAACCAGAAATTTTAGGTTTATAGTAACTCTCACTTATTGGCTTTTATGTCATTCTTTTCTGAGCAGCATCAGAAATGAGTGTGTAATGTAAAAGCTGCCAAACATTGAAAGCTTTAGCCGCCAGACCCTGTACCAAGTGCCTTAACGTACCTCGTTTGAACCTTAAAAGAGCTTTTATGAAACTTGTTATCCTATTTTACAGATGAGGAAACTGAGTCCCAGAGAGATTCAATTGCCTAAATTCATGTTTCTCATAAATGTCCTCATTGGAATTAAAATCCATACAGCAGGCAGTCATCAAATCCTGTTATTTCCACCTCAAAAATGCCATTCTTTTCTCCATTCCCACTGCATCTGGTCATCTCTCTCTTTTTTTTGTTTTTCTTTTTTGGCCACACAGTGCGGCTAGTACGATCTTAGTTCCCCAACCAGGGATCGAAACTGAGCCCTTGACAGGGAAGGCACAGAGTCCACTGGACCACCAGGGAACTCCCCTGGTTATTTCTTATCTTATACTTTGAATTCCATGTTAGCTTTCCTACCATTCAGGTATTTCCAATATCCAGTGTCTCCTCCACATTGTATTTACCAGAGATACTTTAATAAAAACACATTTGAGCTTTGCATCCCCCTACTTAAAAGTAGCTTAAGGTTTAAAGATTGTAAGGCCCATCCTAATCTAGCTTCATCCTGCCTGTCTCACCTCTTCTCCTTACCACAAGCCCTATTTCATGGCTAAACCAAACTCCTTACTACATCTCACCTTCTCACTCAACACATTTGCACATCATTCCATTATCTTGGAATCTCTGCCCACATATGAGAGTTTGGTCAACGTTTGCACTATATTTCCATGGTATCTGCTTCTAAGCAATACGGGAGAGTGGTAACCAAGGGTGAGGGTGCTAAAATCAAACTGTCTGGGCTAATAGGCCCCACTACTTAATAACTCTCTGTGCCTCAGTTTCCTTACCTATAAAACTGGGACAATAATAGTAACTACTTCAGGGTTGTTGAAAATGAAAGGAATTAATTCATGTGTAATGCTTAGAATAGTGCCTGGCAAATAATAAGCCAACTGTAAGCTTTTGTTGCTGATTCTACTATGATAATCATGATGGCAGTGATATAACAATCTCCCCCCAAGAAAGGCTAAAGAAATTGCTTATTAATACTGGAGTCAACTCAGAGATTCATGGTCATACCAAAATAAAAGTATTTTGCCTATAGAGAGATTGGATCCGGTTTGTAGGCTACTATACTTTAGCTACCCTATGGCATTTCTGGTCTCTCCTAAATTCCCAACTAGTTGAAATCCCACTAGTACTAGGACATATAATTTTCTCCAGACAGTACCTTCAGTATCAGCAATGAATATGCTGTTCTACAATTCTGGAGGTGCATCTTTTTGCTGGTTGAATGGATGATGGAGCAAGCTATGCCATGGGTTCACTGTGGGCTGATGTGAATCAGGCTCCAGACCTAGGCAGGACTCCTAAGTGTAGCAGAGGGAAGTTCCTGTATCACTTTAAGACACCATAAAGTAAATAAAGGCCCACAAAGTTAGAAATCTGGTTCCCTCCTCTGTCACATAGCAGACAACAATATAAGAAATATTGTTTAGACTGAAATACTCGAATTAAGGAAATTTTTTGCAGACACTTTAATTTTTATGAAGCTGCTACAGACATATTTGGATGTTATTTTTATTTTGATGACTATAGTCCTGAAAAGTTAAATGTAAATTGCAGTGTTTCTTAGCAGAGTTTACCATTTAAAGCAACTCTACAGTAAATCATTTTGAATTACATCATAGCTTGTTAGTTTTTACTTATTAGAATATTAATATGCTAGCTTCTTTTCTGCCTTTCTTTTTTATTGAAGTATAACTGACATAACATTACATTAGTTTCAGATGTACAACACAATGACTCAGTATTTGTATATATTGCAAAATGATCATCCAGTCAGTCCAGTTAAGATCCATCACCCTACATAGTTACAAATTTTTTTTTTTCTTGTGATGACAACTCTCAAGATCCTCTCTCCTAGCTAACTTTCAAATATGCAATGCCGTATTATCAACTATAGTCACCATGCTGTACATTACATCCCCATATTTTTAAATTTTTATTTAATAACTGGAAATTTATATCTTTTGACCCTCTTCACCCATTTGCCCAACCCTCCACCCCTACCTCAGGCAACTACTGGTCTGTTCTCTGTCTCCATGCACTTGTTTTCTGTTTGCTGATTGGTGGTTGTTATTGTTGTTTTTAGACTCCACATATCAGTTAGATCATACGGTATTTGTCTTTTTCTGTCTGACTTATTTCACTTAGCAACTATTTACTTTAAAGTAGGACACACTTGTATCAGCTACGGTACTTTCCAACTCAAAGGAGAAATCTGTGGCTTAGAAAATTGCAGCATTAAATTGGCAAATGTAAGTAAATTTTGGAAAGTAGTGTTTAATTTTTAAGAGAAAAAAAAGAAGTCATAAAATAGAAATCTAACCTGGGGAAAACAATAGGAGCCAGTCTATTAGACCACTAATATCTAAATTTGATTTTCAGAAGGAAGAATGTATAATATGTAGATGTTATTATTTTATTTCATTTTAAAAGTGTATCAGGTTTCTGGTTCTCATCATTATAATGAGAAATAATATCAAATGGGTTCCCAACGAAGTGTCCCAGCTGTACACACACACACACACACACACACACACACACACACACACACACATTTAAATTAAAGATATACATCTAATGGTGGCACATGGATCTGAGAAAGGAATGGGGAAAATGAATAATAAAAGCTATGACTTGGGTTTCTGTAGCACCTGAAGTTTAAAACGTACTTGCCTGATGTGATGAGGTAGAAAGAACTTTGGATTTTAATGAGAAGAACTAAATTTTAATGGTTGCTTTTCTAGTTATTATCCATGTGAGGTTGGGCAAGTCCCTTAACTGTCTAGAGTTTTGGGTTTCTCATCTGTGAAATGAATATAATAGAGAGTTCCTTCGAGGATCAAAAAATAATGTACATACAGCCTTTGGAAATTGCAAAGCGTTGTACAGTTTTCAGAGATTATAGAAATAGAGATCTCAAAAATTACTCCGAGATTTCAGAGATTATTTCAGAGATGAAATAAGTATGACAGAGATACTGTTCTCAGTTTGTGCATGAGGAAAATGAGATGTAGAACAAGGAATGTGTGACCAGGCTAAAACTGTGCCCTGGGCTTTTGAGTCCAAATGCTGCCGGTACTGCATGCTAGACTATGCTGTTTCTAAGCCAGGGTTGTGCATCATTTATAGGGCACAGCTATAGTAAATTATAACCTAAACTGATTTCAAAGACTTTAAAACATACAATTATTGAGTTATCTTAATAAGAAATGCTAATATTACCAGGTGATGTTTATGTTTGTTTTCAAATGCAGGTAATGAATTTGGGCATCCTGAATGGTTAGACTTCCCAAGGAAAGGAAATAATGAGAGCTACCATTATGCAAGAAGGCAGTTTCATTTAAGTGATGATGACCTTCTCCGCTATAAGTTCCTAAATAACTTTGACAGGGATATGAATAAATTGGAAGAAAGATGTCATTGGCTTTCAGCTCCACAGGTAAGCTCTTTACTCTAAATGTTATGTTTTAGTCACCAGTGTTGTACATGCTTAGAATGGCAATTGATTTAAATCTATATGCAGATCTTTTAAACAGCATTTTATTATTCAGTGTGTAGTGCCCTGTGACATACTTCAGGTTGTCAAAACATGTTACTGAAGTCTCCCCAACAGATAATGAAAATCTTAAACATAATTCCCTGCTTACATTCCTGGTTAGCTTGTCGTTGTTGTTTAAATTTAGTAATTTTTATTTCAATTGGTTAAAATAAATGACAAAAGCTCCGCATGGAATCCACTTTGGAAATTGCTGTGGAAATATCTTAATTGTTTTGACTATTTTTCTTTATATAAATAATTATGCCGTCATAAAGAAACTGCTTTGACAACATGGAGATTTCTTTATTCCTTTTTTTTCCTTCCTTTACTGGTCTCTAACTTATCATTTCAATAGATGCCATTATACCTCCATGCTGTTTTGTATTTTTCATGAGCCTGACTCTCGTCTGGAATTAAAGTCTCAGTTTTCAATAAGTTTTAGAAAATGTAATTAACAGGTTCAGATTTTATACAGTGTTTTTTTTCCCCTTGCAAATATTAGCATATAATATGTGTTACTTATAATCCATTTACTTTCTACTGGTGCTGTTTGAAATTACTGTTATGTGTTTTTACTTTGGTGTCTCTGATTTTTTTTTAATGTTTGAACAAAGGTACTTATATTTTCAGTAAGATTGGCTACATGACACAAATGCCCTAATCACATTTATTAGTAGTGCTGTTTCCAGAAGAGAGAGCAAAATGATGCTCCTTTTCAATAGGAACAATGTTGAATACCAAAAGGCATGCTGTTTGCTCTAGAGCCTTAGCTCACATTTCTAAATTACCAACAGTGGCTCTGCTGATGTGCATGGAAATAAGTCCTATCAAAGCTGGGGCTGGAAGAGGGTAGGGTTGAAAAAACAAAGCCTTCTCACTACCTACAGTAAAATGTGGTGTATAAAATAAAAGCGCTTGTAGATGTTGTAATTCCTTTTCAGACTTTCTCTATTATTAGGCAAAAGAAAAAAGTATACTGTGAAGGACTCTTGGTTGTTTTTGAATCTGACAAAGTCGTGCAATAATGTAAAGTTTTTAAGAAAACTACAACTTCAGAAATCTGGATATAATAACAACGTTACATCATATTTTGAAAAGTAATTTTATATACCTTACCTCATTAAGGACTAAAACAAAAGTCTTAAAGAAAATTCACTTATAAGTAGATCTAATACACACACACACACACACACACACACACACACACACACACAGATGCTTTATGTATAGCACAGGTGCTATATTTTTAGCTAAAACCTAAGCCAAAACCCTAATCCTCTGTCTGTGCTTTGTTTGAAGTTGGCAAGTTGCTGGTGAGATTTTTATACTCCTTAAGCAATTTTTTGAGACTGCTGTTGGCCTAGAGTTTGATAGGGCAAGATGGCAACATGTTCAAAAAATATAACATGCTAGAATTTTCATTTTTGGCTTAATAACTAACAAGGCTGTTAACAAAGACAAAAACAACTTTTTTGTAAACAATTTACTTGTAGCAGCATCTGGGTATTATTTAAAGGTATTATGTGTCTTAATTCTTGCAGGCTCATGTTAGTGAAGAGCATGAAACCAATAAGATCATTGCTTTTGAGAGAGCAGGCCTTCTTTTTGTTTTCAACTTTCATCCAAGCAACAGCTACACTGATTACCGACTTGGAACGACAGTGCCAGGAAAATATCCTTTTTGTTGCCAATGAATATGACTGTCTGCATTCAATTTTTTTATTGCATCATAGAGCATCAGGAAAAACTAATGCTGATCTTGGTGACAGTAGCTCTCAGTTTCTTCATTTGAAAAATGAGGGACTTAAAATAGTCGATAAATCTTTGCTTAATTCAGTTACACTAAGTTAACCCTAAACTCCATTCTGGCTCTAAAAAGTATGATTTTTAACATTTTCTTAAGTAATATTTTAATCCAATATGTAGTATAGGATTAATATACTATTAATATACTATTAATAGAATAGGAGATAATTGTTGTTTCTCTTTATGAAAATATTTTGTAAGTTGCCCCTGAGAATTGTCTCCTTTCCCCCACTCCACTGAGTGAACAAGTAGACAGAAGCTGTAAAGATAGCTTCCTTCCCCTTTCTTTTTCCTGTCTCCTAGAATACAAGACATAGCTTGTTTTTGTGGGCCTGAATTGGTAAGGAATCAGGCAGGGCATGGGAGGTGGAAGCAAAGGAAATAATAGGGAGAGTGTTTTGATATCGTCTGAACATTCATTTACTCATCCATTCATTCATTTCACAGATATTTACTAAGCATCTATCTATTGAACACCTGCATGCCAGCCCTGTGCTAGGTGCTGGAAATACAGGAATTTTCCTGGCAGATACAGTCACTGCCCTCATTGAGCTTTTAAACTAGTGAAGAAGACAAACATTAATAATTGTAAGTGTGATCATTGTTACAAAGTGAAACCTGCTGTGTATTTTTTTTTTTTTTTTTTTTTTCCTTGCGTTATGCGGGCCTCTCACTGTTGTGGCCTCTCCCATTTGCGAAGCACAGGCTCCGGACGCGCAGGCTCAGTGGCCATGGCTCACGGGCCCAGCCGCTCCGCGGCATGTGGGATCTTCCCGAAACGGGGCACGAACCCGCGTCTCCTGCATCGGCAGGCGGACTCTCACCTGCTGTGTATTTTAAAGAGATTATGGTTTACCCAATCCATGGAAAAAAGTGACAGATTCAGGATCTAGCAACAAACCAGCACAGATTTTTAAACAGGCAGTAGAAATAATGTGTTCTTCCCCTGAAGCCCTAACAATGATTAATGTCAGCCACCTGGGTGAGATGCCGGATGCCAACATGAAGTCCTACGCGTCAGGGTTTCTCTAGCTACAGTAAGAGAAACCCCCTTTTTGACTGGCTCAAACAATAAGGAAAATGCATTTTGCCAAACAATGAAAGCCCTGAGGTAGGGGGACCCCAGCACTGTGACAATATCATCAAGTTCCCTGGTCCATTGGCCTTTCTGCTTTTAACTCTCAGGGTGCCAGCAGTATCCAAAGGCTGGCACCTGGTAGAGTTGCAAGACAACAGCCATGGTTCCAAATGTCACCTTCAGACACAACAAAAGGCAAATAGACTTGTGTCTTTTTTCAAGAATGAAGTCACTTTAGCAAATTTCCTTTTGTATTCCATTGACCAGAATTCAGTCACATATCCCCAGAGAGGTGTCTAGGGGGGAGAATGCTATCATCATGAGTAGCTTAATCAGGAATTACCCCTGAGTCTCCAGGAAGTGGCCTCCTTGGTGAAGTGGTTGCCCAGACAGAATGTTTCTTGGCAGTTAGGAGTAAAGGGCCATACTGTCTGGTAAGTAGCCTGTGGCATCTGTGCTGCTCAGTGACATTGAGGGTCGTGAAAGATGTTCCCTGTCTTCTACCCCAACCCTCCCAGATCACCATCCCACAGGACACCAGAGCATTAGGGAGGGAAGGCTATTGCTGTGACTAATAGCCTAAATGTGCCCCAGTTAATACAGAGAATGCTCAGATGATGGAAATCAGTGTAATGAGGTTGTCTGCACTAAAGAAGAGCTGTACTGTTCAGGAGGCAAATGTTCTCACCATCTCCATGAAGAAATGCAAACAGATGCTAGACATGTAGCAACTCATACATAAGCCTTCTCAGCTACAAACTGCTAAAGTAATACCCCTAGACTAAATCCTGCTATATCTAATAATGTCATATAATCAAGACATAATTTTGATTTTTATCAGACCAAAATGCAATTACATAACACTTGTGATCTATTGCAGTGTTTGTTAGTTAAGTACTGCCCTTTACCCTAAATGGGGAAGAAGAGATGTACAAAACCAATTTAGGATGTAAGGCATAATGCAGTAAAGGGGATGGGGCAGGAATGTTCCACAAACTTATCCTCATGTTTAACAGAGGATAAGTAAAAGAAAAATAAATAAATAGAGAGAGAGAAAGAAACAGAGATTGATTAATTGATTGATTGAAAAGGAAAAGACTTTTAAGCCTGGATGGGGGAGGGGAGAGAGAGAGAGATGATTGGTGGACTGATGGATTGATAAAGAAAAGACCTTTAAGCCTGGACCTTGAGAAATGGATAAAATTGTAGAAAAAATTGAGGAAGGCCATTCCACCTGTTGGAAATCAGAGACTATCCTTAGATAATGGACAGTACCATAGATTAACTGGAGAATGAGGACCAGAAGGAAAAGTACTCAGAGATAAAACTGAAAAGACAGATTGCCATCACATAATAGAATATTTTAACGCCTTATTAATTAGTTTAGGCTTTTTTTCTATAGTTTCATAGTGAGTCACTGAAGGGTTTGGGCTAGGGAGCTACTTGATAAGAATGTATGCATTTGGAAAAGTTCTCATGTACCCAGGGTGTTAGAGAGCTTTTATGAGGAGAGAGGTTGGAAGTACAGGTATCAATTATGAAAAACTGAAGTACACATAAAAGAGAATTAGGGTATGAACTAAAGTAATGTCCATAGGATAGAAAGAGGTATATGAAGCACTTTCTTGCAGTGAAAGGACTCAGCAATTGTTTGGACATGGGGTGTAGAAAAGAAGGTACAAGGTTTCACTTTGAAGAGTGAGAAGAATGGTAGTAGCATTATTACTGAGGATAGCAAAGCAAGGAGGAGGAGTAACCAGTTTGGGGAATAGAAAATATGAATTGAATTTAGCATCACTGACAAATGGAAATACATGGAATTTCAATGATGATGTCTAGGCGAAAAATCTTGGCTCAAGCTACATTGATCCCCTATCTGAAGTCTGTGTAATTTAACAAATATTATTAAATGAAAATATATATAATAACATGGTATATTTTACTAAGTAAAATCCACCCCCAAAGTTAATTTTGTTTGATGATACAAAGTTACACTGTACATGAAAGTCTAGTTTGGTTTTGGTAAACCTTGCCACAAATTGAATCTTTCGAAATTTAGCAATTTGTTTAAATGCCCATAGGCACCTCTATACTGATAAATACTGAATGCTTTATAGTAATGACTCATTTCAGAAAATGTACTCATTAAATGTTGTAATGATACACAGATCTTGGAAAATTGGGCCATATCTTTATAGAAGTCATAGTTGCGTCTCTAAGAGAACCTTGAAGAAATATTGTTTGGTTCTTTTACTACAAGGATTTTGTCTTCTACAGATTTATGCCCACTTGGACCTTATTTACTCTTGCTGCCTTTCTCATTCCTGTCTTTCTGTCAACAAGCTGTAACTAATTCCCATATGTTATTGCTTCCTCTAAGGACATTTGCATTTTAATAACAGTCACTTTGAATCCTCAAAAGTATGGAAGACCTAATGGACTAGATATCTAGTAGAATAATTTTTTTTATAATGAGGATGGTTTTTTTTTTGAGGAAAGGAAGGCAGGAGAGCATTTCCAACATACCTTAAACCACATTTTCTAATTAGCTATATTAATACTGCCAGCCCTAACTCCTAGCTTGAAATCATAAAAACTTCCGGTTTTTGACATGCTTTATACTCCAATGATCCAGTTCAGTGCAGAAATCCCAGCTATATACTCCTTCACAAATCATAGCAGTCATTAGAACACTTTCCAGTCTTAGGAATCTCACTATTTCACAAGGTAAACAATTCAAGTTTGTTTGTTTGTTTGTTTTTAATATAGCCTTAAATGTAAATGCATTAATTCTGTACTCTGGGGCCAATGCCTGTTCTATATGCCAGCTATTCAAATTGAAAGGCATTTAACTTGTTCCTCACAGTACCACCTCTCCTTAGTCTACCCTCTTCCAGACCAAATATACCTCTGGTTTCTTTAATACATTCTTGTGATACTTTCCAGACCTGTTACCATCATGTCTCTCTTATCAAAATCCACCCAGCATTGTTCACACTCCTCTTCATTGTGTCTCCAGAACTAACAGCAGAATATTCCAGATATGGTCTGGCAAGTATGTTATAGAGTGCCCCATTACCTCCTCTTATCTTGAGACTGCCCTCTCATTAATGGAGTTAAAGTTACATCAGCTTTTCTGGCAGCCATCACATTTTTCACTCATACTGTATTCACTTTCAAATAAAAAGCTTTAGCTTTTCTTTATGTGTACTCATATTATGTCCTATCTCCCTTATTCTTTATTTATTCAGCTAATTTAACTAAAATCCCAAATTTAACATTGAACATAAACATTATTTTTTGTCTCTAGACTATTAATAGAGAAGATAAAAGAGCACGAGAGTATTGTTATGATCATACCATCTTCCCTAAGCAATACATAGATCTCTTCTTTCAGATTCTTGTTGTTTCTAGCTTAGCTTTAACAGTCCTTTTTACTATCCTTAGCAGTTTACAAGTCTCATTTCTTTTTGGTCTTTCATCTTTCTGACTTTGTTCTTATACCTTTAAACAACATTGTAGTTCAGCATTATAGAATCATTTCAGGTATAGAAAGTACAAAAACATTGGGGTTTCTATGCTGTAGTTTCTGACTTTACCAAAGTGTTCTTCGGTGCCACTCGTATTTCCAACTACTGAGCCAGTGAATTGAACACAGATTTTTCTCTGTGAAGGATCCACAGAGGCAAGATTGGATGTATTAATCAAGTCAGGAAATTCATCAAATTTTTAATTCCCAGAAAAGCAGGATTTGGTACCAGAACAAATTTAAAGTTTCTAAAGAAGTC